AAATTAAATAAAAAATAATATTTGTATTTATTATTTTAAAGGATTTGCCCCCTTGTTATGTTACTTTAAAGGAAAAATGGTGTTCTTTCATGTTTCATTAAATACGTTTAATTACTCTGTTCCGGAGTAAGAAAATGGAAGTATTTGCAATTTTATTTCTCATAATTATGACTTTCTGTATGACTGCATTTCTTATTTACTTTTTTATACTGAATTTAAAAAAATATATATTTTACATTCATTATTTTAGAGAAATAGTCATTTTTCCTTCTAATGTTATTTTAAAATAACATTAGAAGGAAAAATGACTATTTCTTTAAAATAATGAATGTAAAATATATATATGTTTTAATATTTAATATTTAAAGGAAAAACATCTTTTATCATGTTTCATCATATAGAAGTCCGTATCTGCTCCAAAGTAAGAAAAAGTAATTGCGGTCATTCAAACGAACCCTTACTTCCCCATTTCTGCTCCATAAAAAAACCGAGGCCCGCCGAAAGATTCCGGAAGGGTTAGTCTAGCCTCTCCCTGGGGTAATTATTTTTACATTATTACACATGCTCATATTCCAGCCGCCCAGCTGAGGTGACAGGCAAATTTATCACTGCGGGGGTCTGTACAGGCAGCGTGGATGAAGGGGGGGGGTCTGACAAATGATAAAATAAAACCCCTCTCTGCTTAAATTGTTCCTGCTAATTCTTTTTGGGGGGTGAGATTTATGAGCAGCTAGCCGTCCGTGAAGGGAGACGTGCAGAGATTTTTGTGTGTGTACGTACAGTATGTGTGTGTGTGTGTGTGTGTGTGTGTGTGTGTGGTGTGTCAGAATGCAGGTTACACAAACAGGCACATCTCATATTTTAATCCAATCAGTCACATGATGATATCAGAGCAAGCTTGATGTATAGTTCAGTTAAATGTTTATCTATATGTTATTAAATTAAAATATGATAAATAATATTGAAATCCAGCATTTTCCCATATATATAAACAACAAACTATCTATCTATCTATCTATCTATCTATCTATCCATATTATTTTAATATATTTATTATATATTTAATATGTAGTTTTAATATATTTATTTTAATATAATTTATTTAATTTCAGTAGTTAAATAATTGTTTACCAAACATATTATACATTATATTGACTTAAAATAATTTTATAAATAAAATTTTATATTATACTTTATATTCAAAGTATATATAATCGATATATACTTTTGATAAGAAACATAAATATACAAAATAATTTATGTACAAAATATATTTAAGTTTATTATCAACTATATATATATATTTATATATATAGATAGATAGTCTAAATAATGTACATGTGTGTACGCACATAATTATAATATTACATTAAAATGTTACATTAAAATGTAAACATTTGTATTTTATTTACTATACACACACACACACACACACACACACACGGCATATATTCTAATAAAATATTATATAGTAATATATAACCAAATGATATATGTATAATATTGTCTTCATCACTGAGACAGATCACCTTGGGGTCATTGAACACACACAAAATGGTGAGTATCAACAATACATCTGGTTGAATTATTTATTAATATTTGAAAGGACCCTGTTTTAATGGTTATGCAAAGAATTGTTCCGCATTGATGGACTCTACTGTGACTTTTAGAAGGTTAATCAAGCTGTTGACCCATAAGAAATGGTTGTGTGTCGCAAGAACCCTCACGGAAACCTATAGGAACAACCTTACAATAGTCTGCAGTGTCCCTTAAGATGAATTTCTAACAGTGCAGGAATGGCGTGAACCCTTAAAAGCGGAGTACGGGTTGGAAGACGACTGCCTTGTAGAGGATAATGGTTTTGATGACCTTCCAGGCGATGATGGACAGAATATGAATGAGGTTTGGAATTGAGGGGCTGGTCTTTGAAGGTTAAAGGCAGGTGATTGGCACAAAGATAATAACTAGCACTGTTTTGTGGCATGCCGAGGAAAAACAAGGGGAAACGAGAGAGCGGATAACAGGAATCTTACCTCCCGTTGCTCATCAAGCCTCCATCAACACGCTGGAACGTCACTGGGGTCAGAAAGAGGGTAGAAAACAAAGAGAGAGAGACTGAGTCATCGTAACAAAATCATAGCAAAATCAACCTCTTATGCATCACTCTCATAATTCACGATTCTTTAAACCTGATTCCAAATTAAACAGCTGGAACTGATTAAGAAATTAAGAAGTCTCCATATATATGTGCCATTGTAATCTTACACGAGTGACTGTGTGTTTAGAGCACACAGTAAATGAACATGCAATTTATGAAATCGAAGCATCTTTGTCATTTTATCTCCATAACTTCCTATTTTCTCTGGGTTTTGCCTCAATATTCTTGCCAAAAGAAAGTGATTTAAACAAAAAGTGTGCAAAGAGGAAGACGGAAGGGATGGATTATTGATGAAAAGAAGACTAAATCAGGTGTCCATATTTAGTATTCGTTTTGAAAACACTTTCGTCCCAAGTGACTCAAAGTGCCCTGCTTAAATGAACAATTTTGAAGAATGCTTTTGTCCATTTAGAATGTCAATGGGGTATAACCTGAACCCCATTGGCCTTTTTGTTTCTAAATATCTTCTTTTGTGTTCCACAGAATTAAAAACTGCATACAGATTTGGAATGACATGAAGGTGAGTGAATGAATTAAGAACATTTCCCTTTAAGCATGCCCACTTATTCAACAAATATGTGACCCTGGACCACAAAACCACAAAACCAGTCATAAGTAGCACGGGTGTATTTATAGCAATAGCCAACAAAATTATAAATTTTTCTTTTATGCCAAAAATCATTAGGATATTAAGTAAAGATCATGTTCCATGAAGATATTTTGTAAATTTCCTACCATAAATATATCAAAACTTAATTTCTGATTAGTAATATGCATAGCTAAGAACTTCATTTAGACAACTTTAAAGGCGATTTTCTCAATATTTCGATTTTTTTTTTGCACCCTCAGATTCCAGATTTTCAAATAGTTGTATCTCAGCCGAATATTGTCCTATCCTAACAAACCATACATCAATGGAAAGCTTAATTGTTCATCTTTCAGATGATGTATAAATCTCAATTTCATAAAATTGACCCTTATGACTGGTTTTGTGGTCCATGGTCACATATTCCATGAACTAATCCAGAGTGACTCCTGGTCCATTTACACACCCTGCAGAGAATCGGAATTAGATCAGTGACATTTTCTCTCCTCTGTTAACAATCCATCACCTCTTCTGTCAAACAGACAGTCCAAACATTAAACTTGATGAACACTAACCCGTGTCCGTCTATCCTCTGGGCCTGCTGTTTGTTGGGTTTATTTGCATTCGTTGCTAATTCCAGAATCTGGCATTTCAGTAAATTGAGAACAAACACTGAAGGTATTTTCTCTCCCAAAGGGACTCGTTTTATGTGGTGCTATGTGTGTGTGCGGGTCCGTTAAGTGCCTATCTACAATAGGACACATTGCTGGCACTTTGATGTGGCCCGTAGACTGGCGCTGGTCTCGGCTTTAGGCTGAGCTCCAGATAAGCACTCTCTCCAATTTGAAAACTGATTACTCCTCTTTAATAAGCATTTACTGCGGCATGACAAAATCGCCCGCATAAAAATTCTATCAAATCCTTCCTTCCCGTCCAAGCACAACTTGATTTAGCCTCGCGGCGATGACAGGTTTAAAGGAGGAAAGTGGGTGTTTGTGTGAACAGGTATATTCGCTTTTACCTCTTACACCCAACAGCCTCGTATGGAAGCCCGTTTCCGCCACTGAATAAAAAATAAAAAAGGTAATTGCGACTTTCTCACAATTCTGACTTTTTTTTCCTCATAATTGCATGATACAAACTTGCAATTCTGACTTTTTTTTCTCATAATTGTGATACAAACTCGCAATTCTGACTTTTTTTTTTCTCAGAATTGTGTGATATAAACTCGCAATTGCGAGTTAAAAAGTCATAATTGTGAGAAATAAACAATTCTGAGAAGTAAAGTCAGAATTGTGTGATATAAACTCGCAACTGTGAGACAAAGTCGCAATTCTGAGAAATAAAGTCATAACTGCGAGATATAAACTCACAATTCTGACTTTTTTTCTCCGAATTGAGAGTTTATATCTCGCAATTCTGACTTTATAACACGCAATTGTGAGTTATAAAGTCAGAATTGTGAGAGATAAACTCGCAATTTTGAGAACATATCAGTCTTTTCCCCCCCTCCAAATTGGACTTTAACTCACAATTGCATGTTATAAAGTCAATTGCGAGAAAAAAAAGTCACAATTGTGAGATATAAATTCGCAATTGCGAGAAAAGAAGTCAGAATCGCGAGTTTATATCACGCAATTCTGAGAAAAAGTCTGAATTGTGAGATTACATCTCGCAATTCTTACTTTTTATCTCACAATTCTGACTTTTTTCTCATAATTGCATGATACAAACTCGTAATTCTGACTTTTTTTCTCATAATTGCGTGATATAAACTCGCAATTCTGAGAACATATTAGTCTTTTTCCCCCCTCAAAATTGGACTTTAGCTCTCAATTGCGAGTTTAATATCACGCAATTCTGACTTTATAACTCGCAATTGCGAGAAAAAAAGTCAGAATTGCGAGTTTTTACATCTCGCAATTGTGAGTTTATAACTCGCAATTGTGAGTTTATATCACGCAATTGTGAGTTTATATCTCACAATTCTGTGAAAAAAGTCAGAATTGTGAGATAAAAAGTCGCAATAACCTTTTTTTAAATTTTTTATTCAGTGCCAGAAACGGGCTTCCATAGCCTCGATTAAACATACTGCTTTAGAAAAAAAAAATGCCTTCATGCAAACATCCAATCGTTTCGGAATCGTCTGTCTTTATTTGTTCTATAAGCCCTGAAACGTTTGCATGATTTGCAGTGAACCGTGATAATGAGACAAAGACAATTTGGCTCCAGGAAACAAGAAAAATCAAAGATTCTCACGTGGTGCAAAAGTCTGCCCTCGCTAGCATGGGCCACTGCCTTTGCGAGCGTCACGCATATGGGGTCTGGCATGCCGGTAATGCGTCTGAACGCCACACTTATCTGCTCGGCACATGGGAGCAAGAAACCAAGAAAGATGTGGACCCCTGGGAGCCGGCAACCTTGAAGCCCACTGAAGCAGTGGTGAGGAGAGACCACTGGAGTGCATTAAAACAAAGTCGAGGGATATCGAGGCCATAAGACTCGGACACCTGACTGTTATGGTCTTATCTTGGGGAAAAGTGGAGTGCAGCAGTGTCAGCTTTTGCAGGGGGACTGATTTCATCGGTAATGAAGTTTGGAGCGAAACTCTCCTACAAGATAAAAGCACACCTCAATCCGCACACAATCCCCGAGAGACGTGGAGGGAACCAGGGCTAGCTGAGTGATTTTTTTTTCGTTTTGCTTTTTTGTGTTATCAATTCAGAGTGTGATTGTGGCTGACCGTGTGACTGGATCAGGTCATCACTGGTTAACCTCTGGTAGGCCTGTGAATCTCCCATATATCACATAAGTTGCGGACAAACCAACCATTGAATTACAAACAATTCTCTGCTATTGTGAACATAAAGTGGAAAATCAATGGCACTGTGACCATATTTCGGAATGGGATGATATTTGATGGACAGAAAGTCATGAGATTGGTGGCAATATGGCTGTGTTCGGAATGGTATACTACTCTTATGATTTTCTGCAGCATATAGTATGAATACTATATTTACTAAAAGGTGCAACAATGCGTGCTTCACTATGTACAATATTCCACAATGCAATCATCTAATATCAACCATCTCTTTGTTGCTTACAAATTGATGCCAAATGTTGACAAATAATTAAAAATAATAAAACATTTTAACTTTTAAAATATAATAATATAAGGCATTAATATATATCCTAACAATATATAAATATAAATTTAATTATTTATTTTTGTATTTTATTTTTATTATTTATTTAAATCACACATGACAATAATTTAGCATACTAATAATATTTGAAATGCATACTGTCCAGGCATATTATCATTGATTAACTCAAAATAAAATAAATTAAACCTAAACAGTAATATAAAAATAATAATGATAATAAAAATGACAGAAGCACATAACAAAATTACTAAGAATTCAACAAATTAAAATGCAAACTGAAAATATAAATGAATTTAAATTTTAGAAAGACCATAATAGAATATAAATAATCATAAAAAACGGATTTTTAAAAACAGCCAGTGTACAGTGTATACTAAATATTATTCAGTATTCAATTCCTATTTTTTAAACCCATATCTGTGTCCATAATTTCTATACTGGTTAAAACAGAACATATAGAAGCATATATCACTGGAGGGAAATGAGAAAACCTTCAGAAAACATGCCGACAACCTCGTATGGAGGGAACAATTGATTCCCACATGTACGTTTGTTCAAGCGGTTAATAACAAAGACAGGAATGAATGAAAGATCGGAGAACTCAAGTAGAGAACGAAAACAATTCACAACACCTGCACAAACAAAAAGTCAGAAAGAGAGAACAGGGGAATAAAAGGAGGATAAAGATAAGATGGGAAAACCACATGAGAAGATCAGCACAGGTGACCACCACTGAAAACATGACCTGAAGAAAAGGACAAGGGAAAACAAATGGAGAACTGCAGGATCCTGAAGCCCACAGATCTTCCACCTGACTCTGTTAACATTTATAAAGACATGTAAAATGTTCGCTACTTGCACTTTAGTTTGACTTTGAATGTTATTCTATATTTAAAAAAAAAAAATAAATATATATATATATTAAATAGAATTATGGATCATCTGTACATAATTTGTGTTTGATACCCTTACAGCCAGATATTAATTTACTCCCCATATTGTGCTGACAAAGTCAGGTGGGCATCATCTGAAGACCTGCAAACTTGAATCATGGGAAGGGATACTTGACTGTGTAAAGGAAAGTAAGGTAAATGCAGGAAGAAGGGATGGGGGTTTCGAAAAAACGGGACAAATGAACAGTACCTGCAGGGGTGAAGGTGAACGACTGAACTGCAAAAACAAGAAGACAGAGAAGAGTGTGTGTTAAAAAGCCTGCAGTGCTCAGTCGGGCTTTGGAAGGTTTGTGTGTTTCTGTGCGTGTGCATGATTATTCGCATGCAATCTGGAGTGTTCGAAGGTTTGCGTTATGCCATCAGAGTCAAGACAGCAAGACAGCAGCCAAAGAAATGAGACAGTCTCACACAGAAGACACACAAACACACTTAAAATAAAGAGTAAACAACCCAACAAACATAAAAAAGTGCAACTGGTGCTTTTCAAGAATGGGGAAGCACAGATATAACTTATAAATGGCAAAATGTGTACTTTATTTTTATTTATTTATTTAGTTTTTTATATCTACAATAAACAGTTGAAGTACTTATAAAATATTAAATAATAATTTAGAATTGTAGTTTTTCTTAACCCTTATGTTGTGTTCTGGTCATTTTGACCTGGAAAATGCTAGTTAATTTTATTGCATTGGACTAAAAGCTACTGACTTTGCACACACAGGATATAACAACGTCCCTCCAAATAACTGAATCATTTTTGTACTTTTTTCTCCACCTTGTTAGACTTAGTGTTCCTGGTCAAAAATAACTGGCCTACAAAAAAATGCTCATGAATTTCTTGTTATGCTATATCATCAAATATGATAAAAAAATATATAAATAGTCTTTTTATCAACTTTCAATTAGCACAGGTTTTGTATTTCATTTTGGAACTGATTGATCGTAGGCCTCACTGATCTAAGCTTCTGCGCCTCAGATTTTGAGTGAACATTGCCAAAATGATCCACAAATAATTTTCACTAAATTATTAAATTATTAAAAAATTGTTTTTTTAAATTTCACAAAAAAAAAAAAATTACGCGCATAAGCTCAGATCAATGAAGCCTACAAGCAGTCAGTTCCAAAAAGAAATACAAAACCTCTCCTAATTGAAAGAAAACGTGTTGATATAAAGCTTGAATCCAAGATTTGGTGATAATATAGCATAATGAGAGATTTACAAGCACTTTTTTTTTTAAAAAGGGAACAAAACAAATTAGATAAAGGATTTTCAACACAGCAAAAGGGTTAATGTAAATATCAATTTTCCAATTATTGGCCATTTGCGGCAAAGTCCTGTCCATTTGAGAGCTTGAACAAATCATCATATAGCAAAGCTGGGACAAAAACACATTGATTGAAAGCCGAATACATCCCATTCAAAAGCTTTAATAATACAAATAAGGACTCGGAACGGTACTTTAGAGCCTCTTATCTGATGAACATTAAAGAGCACTGGAATCTGCCATAGATTCCCAGTAAAGCATGGGCTCTATTGGCCATGGTTTAATTTGCTAAAATACTGCCATTATTTGTATTATTTGTTCTAAACACATCATTGACGCATTTTTATTACATTATAGAGGAAGATGCGCTTCCCGTGCCATCTGAAAACATTCGCCACGGTGTGTTTGTGTAGATGCAAGCAGATCTGGTCTCTACCTGCGTAATTGCTGAGACCCTTTCTCTTCTTTCTCCTCCAGTAGAGCCAGATGCTGAAGCCCATCAGAATGACCCAGCAGGCCCCTCCGATGCCCGCGATGAAGGCCGGCTGCTTCACCACATCCGTGATCTGCTCTGTGATGCTGTTGTTCCTGCTCATGATCACATCCCGGAAGTCTTTACCTACAAGAGTACACACACATACGCAGGAGAAAACCGCTATTTAGTAAACTGAAAATTGTGGGTGAGTTTCTAAATTAGTTTAATAACACGAGAAAAACACTTGTGCTCCAGTGAACATCAGCAGAGAATTTAATCAACTCAACTAGAGCGTTAAAAGCTCATCACCTTGATCTTTAGCGTTACTTCAGTGAACAGAACAGACAAAAACTTAAATAAACACAAAATGTTGTACACGAAAACAGTATTCACAGCACATTTAATTTCCTTAATGTGATATTATTTCAATATTCATCAGAAATCATGTTAGATTCGATGGAATTATGTTAGATTATGTTAAATATTAATGGTTAATATTATGTAATCCCGTCCCACCTCAGCAAAAATAAAAAATAAGCAAAATAACACAACATGCTGTATAAATATCACAAAACAGTATTTAAAGTACATTTCATTTCCTTGATATATTATTTGAATATTCATCAGTAATACCGATACATGGTTAATATTACTTAACCCCACCCACAAACAAAATGGGGGAGAGAAAGTTGATCAAATGTTATAATAACAAACTTTTTTCCCCTTTTGAAGTCATGAGCACATGAATTATTTACAATAAAACTAGGGATATTTATTAGAGCTAAAAAAAGATAGCTAAATCAGCCCTTTTTTTCTTCTTCAAAAGCTGGTAGGACACACACATACACACAAACTGCAGTCTTGATAAATAGTCTATCAGCCCCTGGCTGTGCGTGAAGATGGATAGTGAGCTTGGCATTTGGGAATAAGGGCATGTCACCGGCCAAATCATCACTTATGGGTCAAACCAGTCACAACCTGCTACAACTCACATAACTCACAGTGTAAACACCCAAAGACCTGGAAAAAAAATCTTCAGCCCTGACCGTGAGATTTAATTTTGATTCTGGTGACCCCGCTCAAAACCATTCAATGAATAGTGAGCTTTTAAGTTATTTCGGACCATCACAGATAAAGGGTAGATGCAGTGTGACAGTAAAGGTTATCGAAACCAAAAGATGTCCCGTACCAATAATGATGGTTTGTGGTTCGCTCTTCACCCCCACCCCTGCGCTGGTGCTGGCGGCCACCTCCACCCGGTACTGGACCCCCGCCTGGAGACCCCCCACCACCACTGAGCGGATGGCTGCGTCCACTGTCTTATTTACATGGAAACGGGTCTCATTCCCTAAACACCAGATCTGAGTGAGAGAGAGAGAGAGACAAAATAGCAAATTGTCTGTAAAAAGTTATTTTTAATGATTGGGCCTCATTAACGAAAACAATTTTTGTGTAAATTACTCGTAAATCCATTTTTATGTAAATTATTGCATTCAATTCAGTACAGTTATTTATGTATGAATGGATTTACATATAATTGATACAGAAATTGTTCTGCTTGTGTTTCATAAATGAGGCCCATTTTAAACAAAAGTAAATAACGTAAACAGTTATCTAGTATGCGCTTCTATCCAAAACGACTCATCGTACAATTATTATTTATTGAGTTTAGCCACTTGAAACAACTTTAAATGTATTAAATTCTTAGGAAAAATGTACTTAAACCTACAACTTTTTAGTAACTAGTGCAGATTTTACGACATCACCTAACCCAATGTGATATAATACTTACATTATAATTACAACAATTACATTATATATAGAAAATTATAATATAATATTCAATATTCTCAGAATTGAAAGTGCAAGATTATTTGGATTTTTCCTTAATACTGTAAATATTATAATATAATATATGTATGTATGTATGTATGCATATATGTATGTATCTATATATGTGTATATATATATATATATATATATATATATATATATATATATATAGTATATACACACATTTGTTTTCATAACTGAGAGCATAACATTTATAAAATTTTCTCCTTATACTGTAAATAATACAGTAATAATAATAATTGCACAGATAATTAATAATATAATACAATACAATACAATACAATATTTTTTCCCAGAATTAAGAGTGCAAGTCTATTTGGATTTTTATTGCTCAAGTTGCATGTGATTGTTGGTGTCTCTGATGGAGTCACATGGCATTTACCTTATATTCCTGGATGATGCCGTTCTGATGTTCTGCAGGAGGAGGGTCCCAGGAGATACTGATGGATGTACTGTTCTGATTGCCCACCGTGAGGACCGTCACCTGCTGAGGAGGAGCACTGGGTGCTGGGATACAGAGAGAGAAACAGAAACACAGGGTTTTACTTCCATGGCTTCCATGATGTTCTTCTACACTATTGACATTCTGGACTTTCCAGAAAAGATTTGAGGCTACAGCTGTCTCTGATTGTTTGGCAAGGATTTACGTACATCACTCAACATGACTCATGCCATGACACTCTCTCATTCTGTTTCTTCTGAAAGAGTCTGTTGTAAGTCACTGCATTAGCATTTAGCAGTCGATGTGTGTGTTGAACCTTAGAACGCAAGACAGGTGGCCACGGGTGCACGAGTTCATTAGATGGGGATTTTCTTCAGCCTGATACCAACGCTCCTTCACATTTCACTATGATTTCATATCCTGCCTCTGAAAGGAGGGATTTACTCAAAAAAATACATTTACTGAGAGACAATGAGATGGTGAGCCATCCAAACAACTCTGCTTTCTAAGCAAATCGCTCTGACAGGCATGTAGGTCGCTCAGCTCGGGGAGGAATGTGAAGAACGGAGGTATTTTTTTGAGAGCTGGATGAGGAAGAGTAAAGAATGGAGTGCTGGGTAAACATATTGACATGGATACATTGATTGAAGGAGGCCAGTTGCGAATCCAAGATGCTGTTTTGTCCTTGGCTGAGTCTGTAATGTAGAAGTCGAGACCCCGGACTGCTGTTTTATTAACCCCATCAGAGCCACTCTGACAGAGACGAGAAGGGAATGAAATAAATAATAGGGGTCTGTAGTGGAAAATAACATTTTTATAAAAATGTTTTTCTCATTTATGTGGCAACCTGAGGTGCGGCGACACAGCAGAATACTGACAGCTCAATTACGGTAAACTCTGCTCACTCGCTCTCTTTCATTTCCCTGCACTCTGACCCCCACGTAAATGGCACATATCCCAAAGCTACACTCATCCCTCACACGTGGTGGCCCATTTTAACCCCCAAAAGGCCTGACGGGACAAACGGCAGCTCGCCTTCATCAAACATCTGCAGCTGATCGAAAAAACAAACAAAAACAAAAACAAACAAAAACAGAGCAATCGGCCGCTGAATGAACTCCGCACATCGCAGGTGACTAAATCACTCCTATAACAATGCAGCCAATGTCATTCAAGGTTAAAGCTTATTATTATGAACATATGAAAATTCACATTTTTCTCCTTTAATACTCAATAACGTGTATGTATCTTTTTTTTTCTTAGAATTTAGAGTGCAATTTGATTTGAATTTTTACCATAACACTGTAAATATTGCAGTAATCATCACACAGAAAATTCTTTTTTTTCTTTAAACATTTTTTTTAATACTGACAAATATTAATATAATATAATATAATATAATATAATATATGTATTTTTCTCAGAATTACGAGTGCAATTTGTTTTGGATTTTTACCATAAAACTGTACATTTTACAGCAATAATCACACAGAAAATTTACATTTTTTATATAATTAAATATTAATATATTTAAATTTAATATAATATAAAAAATTGTAATATAATTGTCACGGTGTGCCTACTGTGTCGGAGCGAGGAGACGTGGGAGAATCCAGAACAATGACAGACTTTATTGACACCAGGGAACACACACGTAACACACGGAATCGACGTTTAAGACAGGACGCAGGACTCATGAAAACACAGGGCTAAATATTAGAACTAAACGAGGGAATTAACAAGACACACCTGACATCAATAACCAATCAACATGAGGGAGAAACTAGGTCACAGGAGGGAACATGGAACAAGTGGGGGAGGAAAACAAACACCAAAACAGTCCATGGGCGTGACAATAATACAATATATAATATGATATGATATGATATGATATATGATATAATATTCTCAGAATTAAGTGAGCAAGTTGATTTTGATTTTTTCTTAATACTGTAAGTATCTCAGTAATTAAGTAATAATAGAACAGAAAATTCGAATTTTTCTTGTTTATTACTAAATAATAATAATAATAATAATAATAAATTAAACAATAAATAAAAATAATAAATAAATTAGCAAAATCTCTCCTATTTACCTCCTTAATGAGGTAAATATATGTATTTTATCAGTGCAATTTGATTTGGATTTTTACTGAAAAATATAATATAATGTAATATAATATTTTTTTTCAGAATTAAGTTGATTTACGTTTCCTTAACACTGTAAATTGTACAGTAATTGATCAAGAAATAATTACACAGACTATTCACATTTTTCTTCTTTAATACTGAAAAACAATATCAGTGTAACTCAGCACGTTGCAGGTGACAAAATCTCTCCTATTACAATGCAGCCAATGTCATTCAAAGTTAATGCCGCAAATCATTTAGAAGCTTATCATTATGCACATTTGAGCCAAACAATACATATTTCTCATTTGGGGAGCGATGGCGCAGGCGATGCTAATAGCGCCATTAGCGGTGTGATGTATAGCCAGCGAGGATGTGACCTCTGTTTCACTGCCGCTACAGTAGCCTGCAGGCGAAAGCTGATGAAAAAACACTGTGAAGTTAAACCAAGCTAATACTGAGACCCCGGGGCGAGCGGCAGGACTTTAGCTTACAGAATGTGAAGAAATGCGACATTGCTTTACTATGCCACTAATCAATGTGTGATAATGACCCTCGGGGAAAAAACTCCCATTGAGAAGCTGTTTATTAACCATAAAATGGATTAAAAACACAGAGGAGTTTCTGAAAGGGCCTGTTTCACCTATTCAACCTCTATCTTCAAAAAATATTACTATTGCAGCTAATACTAAAGGACGTTTTCAAAGAAAGAGCGTCTTGCATGGCTAGTCAAATCCATCAGTGTTGATATTATTATTGATATTATTATTGATATTATTATTATTAAGAGTAAGTAAAATATATACATACATAAACATGCATGCATACATATATACAGTATATATATGTATATACAGTATTTTACTTGACAAAAGCTCTCTCTCTCTCTCTCTCTATATATATATATGTGTGTGTGTGTTGTTTTAGTTGCATATATAAATAAAGTATTATGTTGATATATGGTTGCTACATATAAAAAAATCATTATCACAATATGTACAAATTTGGGACAAACTATGGGATTTTATATGTATAAATATGCTATAAACGTATAGCTTCATACCATCATCAAGAGAATGTACGTATGTGAAAATTATATATTGTCTTATATGTAATATATATGGCAATATTACTCTTGATATAGGGCAATAAATGTCATATATTACATTTACGTATGGGTAATAACCTTTTTGGATGACAGTGATCACTAATACCAATTTACCACAGTTTTATTGTGGTAACAATAATCAAAATAATAAAAAAAGATTAAATTATGTATTATATAATAGATTATTACATTAATAATTTCAATAAAAATAAACAATTTATTTTTAACTAAAAATGGCAAATTATTACTTAATTATTAAAAATTAATTTAATTAAAATAATTAAGTTAATTATTTAAAAATAATAAAAGTATAAATAAATAAATACATTTTAATTTACAATTAAAAATAAATTAATTTTTTTATTTATATTTACGGTTTATCACAGTTTTATTTATTAACAATAATTGCAGCAACTATGGTAAGTTGGAAGAGGCTATGTTGGTAAGCATTTGTCACTTCAGAAGAAGGTCTAAATGAAAGCAAAAACACTTTCACTTTTTGGGAAAGACAAAGTGGGAGAGAAATGGGAAAACAGAAAAGAGAGAAGCTATAATTGTCTAATCAGACAATGGCCAATAAATCATCCTCTTCTGTGACTCTGACAAACCTTCTCAACTACCACAGTGGAAAACAAGAAACAAAAGGGGGCTATCGCAGCCGTGGGCCCCGTGACGCTCTTCTGCCAGGGGACCCGATGTTTTGTCTTGCTCTGGTGATGGCGATGACATGCAGGTGTGGGGTGTGAAGGAACTGCAGCGGGGCTTCAGGAGACAGAGCTGGTGTGTGTGGAGGAGATACGGCTCTCCGCGGACACTCTGGGTAACAAATTAGCCTGTCATTGCGCTCAGACTTTAATCAGCAAACCTTCTGTGCTCGTGTGAGTGAATTTATGTCTTGAGAGTTCCATATGCCGTTTAAACTATTCTCAAAATGTTTTTATTTATTTATTTATTTTTTTACAAGATTTATGTGTGGTAGCAGCCATCGCTCACACCTGGGAAAACATCTCAAAGCATTGCGTTGAATCCTGGATGGTGGTCCTGCTTGTCTGAGCCACAATTACCTAGCACGATATGTCCTGGGTTCAGTTTTGACAGGGTCCAAAAATTAAAACGGACCAAACACCAAACTGAGAGCAAAATTTAGCTTTCATGAGTGAAATGAATGAATGAATGAATAATTACATTAAATAATTAAATTAATTTATTTTTACCTTACAAATAAAAATTGTAAAATTAATTTTACATAAAAAATAATACAAATAAAATTGTAAATAACAAAAAAAATAGATAAATAAAAATGTTAATAACAATGAATTAATTTATACAATATTAATTTATATAATTTTCTACATACATGATTAAATAATTGCATACATTATATTTACTTAGGTTATTTATGTTTAAAATTTTTCATTGTGGTAAGTTTTCAATATGCAAAATGTTCATTTTGAACGCTAGGCAAAGACTGGCGGTTGTCTAATGGAAATATAGAAAATAGAAAGAGAAACCATTCTATATAATTTTATTATTTAATTTTAATTGTATATTAAATGTAATTGAACATTACATAATACATACATACATATTTTAAAATTTAAATCAAAATAATGTATTATATGATAGATAATACATTTAGTATCAAATAAAAAAAAAGAATAAAAATAATTAATTTACTGTTTTTTTACATTTAAAATTTGTATTAAAATATTATTAATAATATTGATATTTTTATTAATTATTAATAAAATATTAAAAATACATGTATTATTAAAATATTTTTAAAATGATTAAAAATAAAAACAATGCTATATAATTAATACATATTATATAATAAAGGATTATATTTAATTTACAATTAAAAATAAATCTAAAGTTATAATTTTCTAGATTGCATAAATCATATTTATTTATGTATTCATTTATGTTTTTTTCATTTTAAAAAATGTTCTCTCTTGGTAAATTTTCTCTATGCAGAAAGTTCATTTTGAATGCTAGGTATGGACTGGTGCTTGTCTAAAGGAAATACAGAAACCAATGAGTTAGTATAAATCTGGCTCTATGGCTGACAGAGTATTTTTTAGTCCGCTGCGAATGATGGGGACGAGTACAGGGGAAGCATTCAGTGAAACCCATGCTTATTTTAGTGTCCCGTCAGCCATACACACACAGTACTCACAACAAAGAAAAGGTCAATTTCTTTGCCAAAACGATAGCGTCTTTCCTCTGAGTCCCGTCAGGGATAGAGACAAGCTTACTGCAGTGCTGTGGAAAGCAGGCCAGTATTGCTTACTACAGTATCTGTTACGACATTGGCCTAAGGTTGGATTATGTATCACTGGCCCAAATTGCTTTGGACTTAGAGCAAGCTGGAAAGAATCAGCAAGAGATCCAACTCTTGGGCTTATGTCTGCATATGTGTCTCTTAGTATCTGTGACCTGTACGTTTCAGAAGCATAAGACATCGACAAATCGATTAAAAACTCTTGTGACTTGAAAGTCAAAATGAAACGGAATTCGCAAACACATTTTACTTCCATAATGTGAGTTGAAACAGAATAATCTTTAAGAATATAATAAGCTAATTTATGCATCAGGCTATTGATTGCGGCAAGACAGAACTGCTTGTGGTTCCGTCAAACCCATCATTTTATCACAGTTTCACCATCCAGTTAGGCACATTAACCATAACCCCTTCAAAAACAACCAGAAACCTTGGAGTTATGCTTGATGATCAGCTGACTTTCTCAGACCACATTGCTAAAACTGCCTGGTCCTGTAGATTTGCTTTATTCAACATCAAGAAGATCAGGCCCTTTCTTTCGGAACATGCTTCACAACTCCTTGTTCAAGCTCTTGTTCTGTCCAAGCTGGACTATTGAAATGCTGTCTTGGCAGGTCTTCCAAACAGTTCTATCAAACCTTTACAATTAATCCAGAACGCAGCAGCAAGATTAATTTTTAATGAGCCTAAAAGAATGCACGTCACACCTTTATCAATTTGCACTTTTGGTGAAATAGTATTAGGATACTATTCTCAGCCAGATTTATGCTGCAAAAAAGTTCAGGTTAACTTTTAAAAGGTAAGGTTTGATCGTAGCCACCGCTTGCATCCATATTGATAAATTCCAAATTTTGCATAGAAATGACTCTATGCCCAGTTTTCTGTTGTACTTCGTTTCGTAAACACCGTGTAATTTACTAAAGGGCTCTGACAATATGCAAATTTCTGCAGTCTATTTATAAAATGTATTCAATATTCAATCAATTGTTTAAAAAAATCAAATTGAGTGAATAATGCAATACTCATTCATAAAGATTTCACTGATTTAATTCCTGAATTACTTTTTATTTTTTTTGAAAAAAAAAAAAAAAAACTGAATAAACTACAAAAGTAGTTCAAAACAATAGCCTAAAAAGTTGTTTTACCAACCTGTATGAGTCATGTCTGATGTTATTTTATTTTAAATGAAAGGTTACAGAGATAAATTATTTATTTAATAAGAAATTAAATGTGGTCCATTTTGATTTCATGTTGACTTCAAACATCACAGATCTCCTGTATCACTTCAAAGAATCAAACGCTGTACCTTCCTCTGTTGTTCTTGCCGTTCGGGACTCGCTGTCCATGCCCTGAAACTCGTTGAAGTACGGACGGACTTTGATCTCGTAGACGATGCCTTTCTTCAGAGCCGAGAGCACCATGCTCCTCTCAGAGGGGACCTTCACATCCTGACTCTGCCACACTCCTGGGGAGGACAGCCCTGACATCTGCCTGTACAAAACCCTGTAGCCCTGGATGAACTGAGACTGCCGGTCAACCTGAAGGGGAAAGATGGTTCAAACTTAAAAAAGTGCAAAAGACTGAGAAAAATAATTGAAAAAGGAGAAACTCTGCTAAAAAGGCCTAGCTTTGGGTGCTGGTTCCCATTAGGTGTCTTAACTAGTATTTAAATATAACAACAAGTTCAGCCAATCAAATCCCTTTGATAAAAATGCTCTACATGAGTCATACATACGTACGACCTTGACAAACTCTAAATAAAACATCAATAACAGCAATCATGCAAGATGTAGCCACTTCGAACAAACATGTTGTGAAAAAAAGCTCAGCTGCGAAGAAATAAACACATATGTACAAGTATATACATACGCGCACAAAAAAATAAAAATAAATAAAAAATCAACATTGACCGTGTCAACATAAGGATCAAAGAAAAAACGCAATCTCAAATCAACAAAAAGGTAAACAAGACACTTCTTTCGCTGAAAGCCTCATTCTGTTTTTAGTTTGCCGAAGAAAAGTAGTTTTTACAGAGAGGAGTAGCGTGTATAACTCACATTAATGTCTTTCTAACAGCACAGTCTGGCCTTCGGAGTGAGATATTAAACATCTGCTTTTCCTCCCTACACATGGAGTAAATCAGCCCAATGGCCATCCTTCCTACACTTTTTAAACTTTCATTAATTGAATGATTCAGGGTCGTAAAAGCTTTCTTGACACCACCTATGTTTACCGCGAGAGTGCTGCTGTATTCAGGGGCCGTGTAGGCCAATGATTTATGGATTATTCATATGAGAAAAATACCTCTGAAACAGTCTATACCCCATTTAGGCTGAACAGACAGACGCTTATATTTGTCTCTGTAATGATTGTTGATGACAATCATTAATATACCACAGGAGAGTGCTTACAAACTAATGTGACAAAGCCAAAGCTGTAAAATCTCCATTTTAATGCAATTCAACAAACAGTAAACACTTTTAGAGTGTTTATATCAATGCTGGAAGACTGCAGTGGGAAACGGAAACAACAACCAAGACGAGTTAACTTTGTTGGATATCGAATAATATACAGTACATACTGTATAAGTTTAAATAATATACAGCCAATAATCTGTGCCAAATAGCCTAATTCTGTATAGAGATGAAGTAAATTTAGTTCAAAATCATCAAATTAGTATACTATAAAATAGCTCATGTCATTCCAAACCTTTCAAAATAACTTTTAATATTTTCTGAGGTACACAAAAAATGATATTGTAAAAAAGGAATAAATTAATAAATAAATTTTTAGTACACAAAAAATGATATTGTAAAAAAGGAATAAATTAATAAATACATTTTTATTATTTTATTTTATTTTATTTTAATTTAATTTAAAGTCAGTGGTGTCCAGTGATGTTTAGGACCATTCTATAGATTAAAACATTCTTCAAAATAAAGAACAGTTTGGAACAATATGAGGTTTAATAAATTATGACAGAATTTTTATTTCTGGGTGAAATATCGCTTTACTACTGCATCATGTTCTAGAAACTCAGTCCAATCACAGTTTAGATGCTAAAGCCTCAGTCCAATCATGGTACCTGTACAATAACCTCTGTCCAACAGCAAGTCATGTTCTATAGCCATTGTTTAATCATAGTTCATGTGTCAACATTTCTGTCCAATCTCAGCACAATTTACAGACTACAATATCTCTCCAAACACAATTAACATGCTAAAAGCTCTGTCCAATCATAGAGCGCATTACCGTCCATGTGACCTGTATGGTGGTGGGGCTGAGGACCACAGGGTTGTGTAGCCGCACAATAACCTCACCCAACTCCTTCTGCACGTGTCTGTGATCCACTCCCTGAGCTGGAGGACTTATATCTGTAAAGAGAGAGACAGAGGCCAATGCCATTACCTCTTATAGTGCGCAGACAAATTACTGGTCGGAACAGCATAATCCCTTAAATACAATTTAATTCCCTAAAAGAGCGATGAGGAGTCATTTTCACTGACTCCAGCCGCAGACAGCACAGCTTCAACCCTACCTGTGAGGTTACATCCGCCCAAGGTCTCAGAATCAGTCACCCCTAATGAACATACGGAAGACTCTGTGGCACCTTAATCGAATCTTTTTCCAGTCGAAGTTGGTCCTTTTTTCTCCTCGTAATGATCATTAAGGTACCAGCCAGGTCACTAACTCAATTATACACCCCAAAAGTAGATGATGTTTGTTCTACATTATACATTAGTCTCTGAAACTAATGAGCGTATGGGACCCTGTTAGATCTCGTTCTCTGTGAGCAACAGCTAGGATTTAATTGGAAGTTGTTGACACAGACACCATTCACTTGGGTTTCTTACCCAAACTATATACACAATTACAGACACAGAGTTTCTGTGAAATACCTTGAGTGCGGACGGGTTCGGACATGGGGCTCGGGTCACTCAGGCCTTGGACGTTGACTGCTCGCACCATGAACAAGTAGATGGTGTTGGGGCGAAGACCCTTGATAGTGTACTGAGTGGTCTTGACATGATCGGCCACAGTCTGCCAGCTGTTGCTCACTGATTGGCTGCATGCAAATGAGGCAGAGTGATGTCAGAGTTTGAAATGTCTTAAAACATTTTAGTCAGAGCGGATGCAATATACAAGGACAGTCCATTCAAAATGTTGTACCAGCTTGAGATTGAAGGTCGCAATATATTTTTTGAGGACTTTGTATGTTAGAAATGTGTATAAAGACATATTTCGGTCTGACTTGAGTACTTGACAGGAAAATGAACAAATTTAAGGTACAATTCAAAAACAGAAAAGACACTTAAAGGCTAAATAAACTAAATTCATACCTGAAAGCCTCAATAACATATGATGAGATGGGTGATACTCCAGGAAGGCCAGGCTGCCAGGACAACGACACACTGTTTTTAGTGACGTCGGTGACCTGAGGTTTGGAAGGAGGACCTGGGAGCTCGTTCTCATCCCGGTCTTTAACTATAACAAGACTTCCAGACTCTAAAGAGAGGAAAGACATAAGAACACTGAGAACTTGAAAATCACATACACTCTTAAAAATAAAGGTTCTTTAAAGGTTCTTATCTATGGTTCCATGAAGAACCTTTAAAGGGTCTAAGGCATTCCTGCAAAACCCCCCTTTTTAAAACCTTTATTTTTAAGAGTGTCTTTTGTGAAGATGCACATAAGTACCTTTGACTTCCAAGAAAGCACTCCAAGATGTTTCCCCACTAGAACTTGCTGCCACACAAGTATAGATACCAGAATCAGAGAGCTGAAAAACAGAAAATAAAAACATGCATCGACCTTTATATCTTCAAGTACTGTGAATTCACTAAACGGCTAATCAATTCTACTGATGGAAAGTCCAAGTTTTCGATCCTAAAGAGATGTAACCTCGGGCAAGTCCAGTTCGGCTAAAGCGCTGACACTAATATGGTAGATATATTCTATTTTCTGCACCCTTCAGCCAGCTTTTATCCTTGCTGGCAAATTCACAAACCCACCCACTAACCGCAACGGGAGTTAGACTAATTCATTTAAAGGGGCAGTCGCTGAAACCCTCTGGACCGTTGACAGCTGGCGCATGTTCCCCCCTCTCTACCTTTCCGGGATGATCTCCCTGTTGTTTGTTGCCTTTCATCAGGGTGCCTCGCCTCCATTTATTAGATAAAATGTCAGAGGTGGGCAGCACTGTCAGGCATAATAGCTATTCCATCCCGAGCCGACGGGGAGGGCTTGGGGACTTTAAATTCAATATGGCCCTAAAAGTGTGTTTGTTTGTGTATGCGTGTGCAAATGTGTGTGCAGCTGGAGCCCGTCCAGCCTTCCGTAAATGATTCTTGGGAGAGCTGTCGTATCCCTAAGTGATAGTATCAAACAATTTACCAAAATCAATATTTCCCATTCATCCCCGTAATGCAATATGATTCTCTCTGCCCATCTCTGTTATGTCTTACCGATATCTGATTGAATTCTGCTAAGCTTATACATCACACTTAGATGAAGACGTTTCTGACAGATGGTAGTCACACAAACACACACGGTCTTAGAAATACACAATAACAGATACACATCTGGACATTCAGCGATGTATTGGTGACTATATCAGTGCTGGCTAATATAAAAACTGGTCTAATTTGGTCCATGTTGAAAGTTGATGATATATGATGGATGTTCCTTTTCTATGCCAATTCAACGTCTAAGTTAACTAAATCACATTCATTCATTCATTCATTCATCCATTCATTCATTCATTCATTCATTCATTCATTCATCCATCCATCCATCCATGCATCCATCCATATGGATGCATCCCAAATGTATACATTCATTACAAAGGAAATAAAAAATAATAATAGTGTTTAGGCTCACCCGCAAACCCTTGATCTGCAGGCTGCCGAGGTCCTGCAGGGACATACGAGGGTCTTTGCCCAGCAGACTGACCCCATCCTTCAGCCAGCTGATGGTTGGGACCGGTTCTCCAGACGCATGGCACCTCAGAAGAGCCACACTGTCTACACCCAAAGTCTGGTTAGCTGGACCCTGCCGGATGATGGGGGGAGGACGATCAGTCAACACTAAACAAGAGAGAGAAAGAGAGAGGAAAGAACAGGAATTAATGTAGTTCTTACTGTTTTAGAAGGGAGGCATCCCAATTTGTATCCTTTGCTGGTGATGTACGGTACAAAAATAAGCTTCAGTTTCAGCTTCACATTTATCAACATTTTTCAACTGATGAATGAAAAAGAGAACTGTCACAAGCACTTCTTCCATTGCACAAGAGAAATATGAGCGTGAATACACACTACCAAAAGTACACCACCAACTTTCAATGTACTATGATTTGAATCTCACTAATCGCACTATTTATCGGATAGTAAATACAGACAACAGAGAGGAGGCAGGAAAAAATTAGGATAAGAGAGCGAGAAAGTGTCCGGAAAACAACACAGGCCAGATCTGAAACATTTCCTGTGTGAGTGCAGTGACTCAACATGTCTGGAGCCCATGTGCTAATAACTAGGCCATGACTCTGAATTAGTTCCTGCTTTTACTACTGAAATGGAAACATTGGAAATCGGTAGCAATTAGCATGCTTGTCCATCTAGAATAATATATTCTCCTCAGATTATGACATCATGACATAAACAGGCCTTCTTCTTACGTCATTTGTTGCTTTAGCACAGGACAGCGAATATGTTCGTCATTAAAAGTGTCTGAAAACATTAAGATTGTGGCCGTGTCCCGTGTGGCACAGGAAGCAGGATGAAGCCATGATTGCCTTATTCCTGGACGTATCAGGGTTATATGCACATTTTGTGGTCGCACCACAGGGCAGCGTCTACACCCCAAGCATTCTGGGAAAAACTGGGAGAAACGCTGAGTCTTGGTTTCTAGCTCACTGATGTGGCAGCGAGGTGGTTTTGTAGCTTCCAGTTAGTGCCTGAGATCCTTCATTTAGGAACCAGACTCTGAGTAAAATTTCATGTATTACTATATATCCGACTATCAGAGGCAGTGTGGTCGCTTAAATATCTCATGCTGGTTAAGAGAACATCCCCTCATAAACTGCTTCTCCCACCGTCCTAGAGCGCACAGATTGTTTCATTTTTTGTTTTGCGACGTTTATAATGACGGGCGTTCATGAAAAGATTTACATTTATTTTCATCTCATTGTGTAGATGCTTTTTTACTGCTTACAGTAGAGGACAATCTGTGAAATTTTATGGAGCAAATATAATTATGGCAAAATTGTAAGTAAAAACACTGCATTGTCATTGGCAACAGAAAGCCTTATCAAACCATGTGGATTGTGGAATAAATAAATAAATAAATCACACAGCACATAGGGATTCTATTTGTCTTGCAGTTCTCGATTGTCGGCCATAGATATTAAAAAAACGTGTAATTGTTTTTTGTAAGTGTTTTTATTTATTTATTTTTTGGTCATCTGATCCCATTATTTATTTTGTGTTGGTAAAATCTGAAAACCTCAAAATAAGGCATAGACAAACAAACAAATAAATATATATTATTAAAAGTATTGAAGTATATTATTACAACGAAATTTTTTAAATGATTACAAATATGAATAAATAAAATGTATATTAAAAATAAAAAAATAAGGAATTATAATATATTTATGTAATAAAAAGTATATAAAATAAATTAAGTGAGATTACATCTCACACAGGCCTATTGACAGGGCCTAAAATTAACACTCGCCAAGCGCCAAATGTGAGTAAAAATCAGCGATGGCGAGTATATGTAACAGTGTCAGTCGCCAGTTGGCGTGTACAACTTTTACGAATTATAACAATGCAATGAAGTGAAAACAACAGACAGTTTTTAAAAGAGATTCGTGGTTTCTGACATAAGCGAATAAAATAATCTTTTCCGAAGACAAGATCATCGTGATTAGCTGTTCTGTCATAAGCGACAAGAGCTAATCGAATAATAGGATACAAATGGACTGATAAGGTCAGAGCGGATGGCCAGCTTGCCCCTAGACATGGTTCTAATAACTTTTACCTGATGCGCGTTCGGCTGTTACACAGATGCTGAGCCGCTTCAGACAGCGCACCAGTAGCGCTTCAACGGACGAAAACACACAAAGTGTGCAAAAAAGAGTTTCATGGCCGGTAAAAAAAAAATTTTTGGCCGGTAAATTTTATCATGTCACCGGCCATTGGCAGGTGTGGCAAAAAGTTAGTTTTAGGTCCTGCCTATTGACGTTTATGGTGATGTCAAGTCACATATATTTATATTGCGCTTTATATACAATACAGACTGTTTTAAAGCCGTTTCACTGTAATAAACAAGAAAATAATAGTATTAAGTTCTTCAGTTATGAAACAAATCAAATTTCAGCTGTAAAGTAGCTCTAAAAATACAATAGTGTCATTATTCAGCACAGTTTAGTTCTATAATGATTCAATATAGTTCAATGACAGTGTGAATGTTGCAAAGTTCATTAGTTATGACACAAACTTGATTCAAATAAAGCAGCTCTTCAGAAGATAGTCAATAGTAGCGCAAAGTTAATCAAATTATGAAACAAGCTTCATTCAGCTATAAACAGCTTTAAAAGTGGCAATAGTGTCATTATTCAGCTCAATTCTGTTCAATAACAGTATTGATGTTGCAGGGTTCATAATTTTGGAACCACATTTGATTCAGCTATAAAGCAGCAACAATTGATGTACAAATGGGCATCAAATGCCCCTTGAGAAGTGCCAACCATTTATTTCTCCGACTAATAATAACACAATAATCACAGCCGTGTCCTGTCCCCTGCCCCTCTGAGGATACACTAATTAGCAGGTGTGAATTAATGACCAAAAAGCTGGTGGGTGCTAATTACAGACTGCACCTCTAACCCTTAAATACAGCTTTAGATGCAGTCTTCTTCCATTCTCGGCTGCGTTACTATTTGTCTCACTCTGAATAAAGGATGGTATTTATATTGTCCAAATCTCCATCGGAATGCCTCATTTGGGCTCAGGGATGAAGAGTTGCCATCCTAATTCATCAATGTGGATTACTCCGCTTCAAGGTTAAACCCCAGAGTGCTTTGCAGGCACATCCATCAGGCCGGTATAAACCCCAGAGATGCATGCGCGGATAGATAGATAGAGACTGATGAGGCATAATGGCTGTATTTGGATTAAAGCTGCATCCTCTGTACTGAATGAGTCTTTAGTGTTGCACTGTTGCACTTGAACTCGACTAGACTGCAGTTGCTTCCAATCAGCCCAATCTCATCCCTGCTGAAAGGACACATTATATTCATGATCGTTTTCTAAAGAACTGCTGAATAAATAAATAAATAAATAAATACATATTTTTTGCAAAACTTTTCGTAAAGTAAATGTGTCTTTATATCTGCAAGTACTCTGCAACATAAAAATAAATAAATGAAATCCATATAAATGTGAGTAACTAACTGACTAACTAATCAACTAAATAAATTTGCCTGCTAACTGACTAGTTATTAACAGAAAAAAAGTGCATTGACTTTCCTCCTTTTGCAGTGTCTGCTAAGATTAGGCAGTTTGGTTCATGTGTGAGTGTAATAAGACTAAGTCATATGTGTGTTGACGTGACATGATGGAGTGCTGATCATCTGACGGGACAGTTTTAGACAGCGTGAAGGCCTTGGTGCCGTCTGGCAGCAGCCATTTTTCATCAAATCTCTCCTTGAACCTGTCCAGCTCTCTCCGCCACCTCAACAGCCACTAAATCACACTCTTCCTCCAGCGCAGGTGTGGCCGTGACCCTCTTCCTCTTTCGTTCCTGTCATCCCTCTTTGCTGTCATCCTCCACAACATCTCACACACACGCATTTCTGAGTAAAAGCTGTTTATGGCAGTCTAGGTCATATGTGGTTTCTAAGACAAAATCGCTTAATGTATAGGCTTTGCAGTCAACCGTAACAGCCATCAACTTAAAATAATTACATTTTACTGTTAGACCGAAGATGTAGTTGAAAAGTTCATACAAACTGACTTCTTGCTACTTTTTCCTTTGTAAAAAAAAAAATCTCTTACACAACCCAAAACACGCTTTGTTGCCACAGCTATTTTTCCATGATCAGTATCTGAAGTTTTCAAGGACGGCTGTTTTCACTCCCTTCTCGAGCTGAAATGAAGTTTTCCTCCTGTCAAGAGAAGTTCACAGAGAACGTGCTCCTGTAATATTCAAACGTGAGCGGAATTCAGGGTCGTCAGGCTTGCTATTCATTTCACATAGAGAGGCAGAATCAATGCAGAGCTCAAGGCCACATTCCAATTCAGCTCTTAATGTGGATCCAGCGGCAACAGAAGTGGTTTTCATATGACATTTATCTTTCTGCCAGTACTTTTGTATGGGGATATTGAGGCCTCTGTTTGTGTTGGGTGTGAAAAGTGTAGGCTGACATATGAATGAGGGAAAATGAAAGAGTGGTGAAAAGAGAGCGACAGCGAGTGATAAAGAGCGAAATGATGAAAACAGAGGCTTAACAAAAGTCAGTTAAAATGTAAAAATAGAATTAAAAAATAAAATATTTAATTCTAATAATTATTGAATTAATCATAGTATTTTACAATTTCTGCACAATGCAAAATATTTATTTAAAAAATATTAAAAAAACATCATGATACAAAATATTAAAAAAACATCATGGGTGGAAGGAATGGGGAACTTTTGGATCCTTCCTAAAAAAAATATTTTTATTATTATTATTATTATTATTTATATGTAATATATTTATATTTTTATTATTTTATATTTTGTAACAAATTTATCAATAATAAAAAAAACAATTTGTAAAATTATAAAAGATATTATAAAATAAAAAATAAAATGCAATTTAATTCTAATGATTTAAATTAATTAAATTAATAATTAATCAGGACTGTTTTGAAAAGTACTGAATAACGAAAAAATAAAAATGATTGGATAGGTTTGTTATTTGCATTTTTGTTTTCCAATTTTCTTATACTGTATTTCTAATTATTAAAAAAAATGTATGACAAATAGTTTAGTTTGTGGCAGCTGCATGAGATCTTTTAGAAGGAACTGAATTGCTTCATTAAAAAAAAAGTCCTGAAACTAAAAACAAAGAAACAGAATGAAACACCAACAAGGTAAGAACTATCCACATTCCCAAAGCCCTGTTGTGGTCCGATCCACCCCAGTGCTTACCGTCTGTGACCTCAAGCTGTGCTTTGGCCAGGATGCTGCCCGCCACCGTCAGGGCCTGGCAGATATAATATCCCGCATCTGCCCGCTGGACCACTGTGATGGTCAGATCTCCACTGGGCGACACCGAGAAACGACTGTTGGGCTGCTGCGGTTGATTTGGAAACAGGAGGTTCTACACAAACAAAGAAAAGTGAACAAACAAGAAAAGTGTGAAGAGGATTTCCAGGGAGAATTCACTACCTGAAACCCACCATTCTTTGAATAGAAACACACCAGGAAAGACATTTTTGCATTAGAGGGGGTAAATTATTATCTGTATTATCAGCTATTAAAATTCTGAAAGGAATTACGGTGGTGTGACTTTAAATTGTGCAACACAATGGCTCACAGCAGATAAAGCTTCTGCTAACCAGTGTGCTAACCCAGACTGTGTATATCTCTCACTCTGTGTATCCATTGTGTCCAAATGACTCCAGTAATTGCTTTGGGCTGCATTGTGTACTCACTCTGTTTGACATGGATGTTGTATTTGAAATGAAATATGTTGGAAAGGGAGGAGGCCAGGTGATTCAAAGCTAATTCACCACCAGCGGCCGGTTTAGACTGTTCGCTAATTATGGCAGATAACAAGCTGGGTTCATTAATGGCCGTCATTGACCGAACCCTCATATTTACCTCAGATTTTATATCCTTGAGATCCCTCCACTCTTCCTTTCATTTTCTCTCTCTCTCTTTAGATTTCGGAGTCCTCATAGCTGACCGTCAGAAACCGAAAGGCATTAGCCGGATTCAATTACACCTAATGACTTTAATGCTCCAAATTATACCCCAAATGATGTTTTTTCTTTCTTTCTTTCACTCTTTTTTTAATTAGCCTCTCACACATGATAGATGTTGGGTCCATTATCCTCAAGTGTGACTGAGAGGCTTCTCTCAACGCTAATGACTCAATAACTGCTTTAATTTTGCCTTTTAACAAATACCTTCATATCTTACTTAAGAGAGGAATGGCAGGACAGAAAATGTAATAGAAAGTTTTATATTGCATTTAATATTGGGATTAAGAATCAAATCCTCCAGTATTTCAAAATTTTTATTCCTTTTATAGGAATTTTTAACTAGCTTGCCATGCTAAAGCTCACTGCTACAATGCTAGCATGTTCTGGGTGGTTGCCAGTTTTGCTATCACTAAGGTCCTTTGGGTGGATGCTAGGTGACCCATTCCTAGATATAACTTGTATCCCTTCTTCAATATAAGTCTAAGGGATTTGTTCAACCGTTTTATTGTCAATACGCCTGGAGCATGTATGCTAACCACTAGCCCAATGCTTTCACAAAAATAAAAGTAGGTTAAAAAGAGAAAATTGTTCTCTCTCTTACCTGACTTCCTTCTTTCTGCCAGAAGACTGCTGGCTGTGGGTTCCCTTTGGTCTCACAGGGGAAACTGGCGGTCCGTCCCTGCGCTACAATCTGATCCCGCGGCCTGATCACGAACTGCGGTGCGGCTGAGTCAAGAACCAAAGACATTACCATTACACCCTACCCTTAGACACAAACACACACTGACACATACACGCTGATCACTGGCAGTCAGTGGGAACGTCAGGCATCCACAGGCATTGACTGCCAAGGTCACTGAAACAGAGCTTCCATGCATCAGCCCGTTTCCAACACCATTCGGCCTCTTGGATTATCTGTTTGCTTTGACCACAAACAGCAAGGACAGCGACAGCAACCACAGGAAGCCATTCATCCAGGTGGGGCCGCGGATGGCGGTTCTGAATGAATGACGGCAGCTTTCAGGCACAGCCGTGCTGCAGTCACAACACCAGAGGGAGGGGTGGGTCATTCCGGTCAGGACACACGGAGAGGAGAAGCTAAGTGTGGACGCCACACCATGAACTTGAGTGGACAGTTCTTTTGTAAGTGGGTTTAAATGCTCGACTCTATTTACTCTAGCTACACAAAACAGTTTCTATTCCTGTATCGAAGACAAGCAGAGGTCACAAGCTGGACAAGCTTGGAAAACATTGAATTGCTGTTGGACATCATTCTCTATTCTAACTGCCAACTTGGGTCAAGTTCTCACAAAACGAGATTTTTTTCCCGCCTTATGCGTCACACTTAGCAAAGTATTTTTAACCTCTCAACTCACCCGACACAGAAACTCAGCCAACATTCCTGCAGAGCACATTCAAATAAACCAATTAAAAGTACCATGTTCCCTGCTTTCCCTGTCTAACCTGACCTTAAAATGGCATCAGAATTCAGAAACAGGGATCCGAACTTTCCCCTTAACATGGAGTAAATGCTACTTTCTCCTTAATGAGAAGGTTAGGGCACCAATGATCTAAAAAAGGTTTGCCAGAGTCTTTAAAGGCAGGCAATGGCAGCTGGAGCTTGTGAGAAGATAAAATGCTATTGCAGACGGTACCACTCACATACAGTTAGGGAGTTCCAAGGATGGAGCAAAGTTCTTTATATGGAGGAATAGATGTTTTACCTGACCTAAATAAAAGAACAATTTGCTTCTGCCAGCAACTCTGAACGGCGACCCTACAATCAATCATTTTTAACCGAACAAAAATAACACAGAATGTACTACTGTTAAAAACTGATACTTTTCAGTCATGAGGTTCACAAGAAGTCACAAATTCAGACCAAAAACAACAACTACCACGTAATTTGAACATTCCGACGCTGTGTTAGTTTTATACTTGTAGCCACAACAATAAATCTAGATGCAGGACTCCAAACCGTTGAGTTAGTTTAGCAGGGGAACCATTACTCACAGTACGCCCATCTACAAAAGAAAAGGTCTGACAGCGGAAAAAATGCTCTCCCCCTCCATTTTGATCCCTAAATGAGCCCATCTACTGTCTGTGCAGCTGGCAACTATGGACAAGAGAACTCTGCAAGTGTTTGTGATTTATGTGGCTGACTGATTTTTGTGAGGCTGTACTTGACTAAGGCTGACACATTCAGGCAAGTTACAGATGGTGGCAGATTTACACACACACACAGACACACACACACACACACACACACACACACACACACACACATCCCAAGTCTATCTGTTCCAGAGGGGATTCTAAAGAGTAGAACAAAGCTAGTCATAAATAAACTGTGATTGCATCCCTGGAACATTCTTTAATGCATGTGTGCTGGCCTCTTTTCATTGGGAAGTGTCTGCTGGGAGAATGAGGCCCTGTAAGAGCAGAATAGCTGATCGGCTCCCATATTTAATTCATGACGGAGCACATCTGCTTCGTACTGGAGAGAGTTCATGACTAAACACACTTCTGAGAGCTGTAAATAAACACACATGAGAACAACAGGAAAAAAGCATGCACACTCTCTCCGAAATGCACACACAGACAGAAAAATAAACAGAAACTGACATGACTAATCGAACAACTTCGCAGGATGCTAGAACATGTTGTTTTAAAGTATTTCAACTCAGCCAAATGCACACCCAGATGGTTGTGTGTGTTAGGAAGACTGCTGAATTATATTCATTAAGCAGAAGCCACAAGTTTTAAGCAATTAACACACTCATAAGCTTTTTTAGAAGAGTACTATCACAACCTATAATCCTATAATAAAGGTAGTTAGTACAGCCACAGGTTAGTATGGGATAAAACTCTACTTTGTTACTTTGCTATCAAGTTCATCAGGATGGGAAGGGGAAGTAGTGAAGCGTAAACAGGAAGTACTGAATCTCTACAGAGTTAGTTGAAGAGTTGAGCCAGCACACTGTATGTGTGCAACGTGGACAGCTAAGAAAATCAAAATCAGCACTCCTGTCTCTCCTCCATAACTGACACGTATCTCTATTCATATGAAGTCATTAAAATCGGGGGCTCGTCCGGGATACAATTCAAGCTATGAAATCTCCTTCACCTGCAATAACGAGGTCTATATACACAGCTCTCTGTGAAGAAGCTGAACCGGCAAGACAGAATATGGGCAAAATAGATGGAATGGCCAAGAGAAACTAGCTGACAAAAAAGCAGTTATTATTATTTAATGCAGTAGTGGACCTGTCGAAGAGGCTGATGCCATATTGACATTAAGAGTGAGCAATCACGCTCAGAGTGCTGTCCTCTCCTTCCCTCCTCTGTCTCTCTCTCTCTCTCTGGAAAGTGAGCTTGTGTAAAAACCCTCCACTTTGCATCCCCACACATCCCTTCATGGCTGAACTCTGTCTGCTTGTAAATCCCGCTTTCAAAAGGGCTGAAAATTGACGGCTGTCCCCATTGGCAGCTCCAGACCCCTCCTGAAGGCCACTGACCACCCCCCACCCACATGAGGAGCCCTCCACAGTGCATCTAAGCAGGTTGTTTTAATGTGGTGAGAAGAGAATGGAGACTGAGAAGAGGTGGAAGGGGAGAGAGGGAGATTATGGTGAAAATAATTTTTTTTTTAATTAACCTTGCCCACCCGAGCTGGGCTTTTCGAGGTCGGTCTGCACCAGTAAACTGTGAAATGGTTTCGCTGGTTTGGGCTGGAGTGCCACAGTGGAACTGAGGAGATAGCATGTTTATGTGTGTGCAGAGGGGGGATTGGTGGCCTCCATTCTAGGGGGTGTAAATAATAAAAAAGGATTGGTGCCTAGGGCAAGATCCCCCTGCCCCCCACCTACCTAAATTACACTTCAGGAGTTCATTTGAGACCCGTCAGGAGGTTATCTCACTCTTTTAGACTGAGACTACACCAAAAATACATTACACTGCTATTGATTTCCAGTAAAGGGAAACCTTACGATAAAGTCAAATAACCAAGATCAGCACAAATGCACTGTTGGGTCTCTGAGATGCTCTAATATTTGGTTTTGTTTGTCAAATAAAAAAATGAATAAAAAAATTATCCAATCTGTTTTTTTCTTTTTTCTCTCTAATTTATCCCTTTAATGTATTTAATCTCTTTAAGCCCTTAAACAGGTGGTGCAATTTAGGAATCCAGCAATCAATAATTATAATCAAGTAATCAAAAACAGTAATTAGTAATCAATGATGCAATCAAAAGCATTCGACTAAGCTGATTGCATGAGTTGCTTTGAAACATTTGAATGAAATGCATATTTCTGAAGGCAACCAACCACCCTGTGAGGCTGGAAAGTTGTAAGCAGTGTCATTTTACTTTTGTGGTAGACTTGGATACTCAACTGACCTCTGACCGTGAGGGTGGTGGACGCCTCCGTTTTTCCAACTCTGTTCTCAGCTACACAGGTGAAGGTTCCTTCATCGCTCGCTGCTGCCTTCTTTATCCTCAGCACATAGTCATCTTTATCATATTTAATATCATACCTGAAACACATATGAACAGAAGATGAGTATAGCAATTAGAAACAACTTCTGATTATGTGATAAACATATGTAAGTACAGTATACACTACTGGGTTCAGTAAGACTTGATTTATTAGATATAAACTAGATATAAAATACTTTTATTGAGCAAGGATGCATTGAATTGATCAAAAGTGCTATATTTCAAATAAATGCTGCACTTTTGAACTTTCAATTTTTTTCTGTTTCTTTTTTCTTTTCTTTTCTTTTTTCTTTTTAAATCAAATAAATGCAACCTCAGTAAGCATAAAAGACTTCATTTTAAAACATAAAAAAAATCTTACCAACCAACCCACACTTTTGAACGGTAGTGTATAATACATAAGATATATTAAAATTATCATTAAATTTGATAACACATCACAGCAGATGCTATTTAGAACACCATATTAGGAAAATCTGGTATATTCAGAGAAAGAGCACTGTATAGAAACACTGCATTTTTTATCACTGACAGAGAAAGATCAATTATTCAACAATGACACACACTCTACAGAGAAGGAGGAGGCTTTCAACTGGAACCGCAGATGCTTCCAATATTTATGAGGCATCCGATGTGTGTGTGTGTGAGAGAGAAGTGGGCGTATCTGGGAGCTAATCATAAAAACAGGCCGATTCCAGGTCAGACTGTACAGAAAGGGATTTGAGATGTAGAATCCAGCCTTATTGATCTGCACCTCTCTGGCAGCTCCTAGGTACTTCAGCAGCACTATGTCCTGGAAACTGACAGCCAAAGGTGATGAGCTGTGTGTGAGTGTGTGTGTGTGTGTGTGTGAGGTGAAAGTGTGGTTGACAGGCCTTGCAAGTTGGTCTTCTTTGTAGCATTTTGCTATAATTGGGATTTCTGGAGAGTGTATGCATGTCTGTGAGCAAGTGTGAGAGGGTGTTGTGCCATAGCGGTTTTTGTCTGACAGCTAGAAAACACTCTGTCTGCTGTCTGTCACTCCAGATCCGCCCTTCCACAGGAAGCAGGGCTCAGAGAGCACGCCATGTGGCGCAGGAGACAGGCTGATCCCTGACATGAGGACCAATGAGACCAGAATTATTCTTCTAAAGACTGTTGTTTATAAAGACAATATACAGTCAAACCACAGAATGTATGTTGCTTCATTAAAAAAAAGGGGAACCAGATGAAAAAAAGGGGGGACCAGAATAAGGACCAAGAAGAATATTTCACCTTAAAATTAAGAGAAATATATACAGTAGAAAGAAAATTCAGTTTATTTGTGTTGTTTTTGTTTTTGTTTTAGAAGTAGCTTTAAATTATATATAGTGTAAAACTGTATACTTTCATTTATTTATATATATATATTATTATATATAATATTCTATATATGTATGTAAAAATATACAATTTAATATATATTCGCATTACAGTAATAATACAGTTTTATTTATTTATTTATGTATCATCAAAATAAAAGTATAAATATATATTATAAAATTATAAAATTACATATATATTTGATTTTGGAATTGAAATATAACCTGGCCATTCTCAGCTTTCTAGAGAATCACTCATAATGGGAAAGAAAGAAAGAAAGAAAGAAATTAATCACATTAATTTTCAGCACTATTTCAGCTATAGTCAGATTGCTTTCCTTGGTTACGACTGCTAACTTCACCATACTACTATGTGACATATTGCATGCATTGATCATATATGCAAGGTCACAAAGTCCAGGGTCACTTCAGGTTTAGGAGAATAAAGCTGATACTGTTTGAATGAAAACAGAAGGAGAATGTCACTGCACAGAAGCTAAACATTCCGATGTATCATGTGTCTTTCTGACAGAGCCTGAGGCAAAGTCTGATGTGATTGGACACAGAGAGAGAGAGAGAGAGAGAGAGACGGAGGTTAAAGAAACAACATAAACAGATGCAAATCATATGTTCAACCACTAAGACTAAATATTGCATGAAACAAGTCTGGTAAAACGAGACACTGAAACAGTAGCGCTCTGTATGTGCTTCCTTTCTGAGCTGGATCTGGTCTCTATTAGAAGAGGAATGCAATTACACATGAAACAGGGCAATGCTGAGGATACACTACACTCCATCGGCTCTCCAAACAACACACACACACATATTACGAAGCATGCACTGCTGACAGATTTGGGGTGTAAACATTTGCAGACACAGCTTTTGAGTGTCTTTTCCTTGTTAAATTGTACTTGGAGCTCAGAGTTGCTGTGTGCGCCAAATGGTCTGGTGTTACTTTGACAAGCTAATAACTTCAGAGAGAGAGAGAGAGAGAGAGACGGAGGTTAAAGAAACAACATAAACAGATGCAAATCATATGTTCAACCACTAAGACTAAATATTGCATGAAACAAGTCTGGTAAAACGAGACACTGAAACAGTAGCGCTCTGTATGTGCTTCCTTTCTGAGCTGGATCTGGTCTCTATTAGAAGAGGAATGCAATTACACATGAAACAGGGCAATGCTGAGGATACACTACACTCCATCGGCTCTCCAAACAACACACACACACATATTACGAAGCATGCACTGCTGACAGATTTGGGGTGCAAACATTTGCAGACACAGCTTTTGAGTGTCTTTTCCTTGTTAAATTGTACTTGGAGCTCAGAGTTGCTGTGTGCGCCAAATGGTCTGGTGTTACTTTGACAAGCTAATAACTTCATATCTCATCTCTGTATGAACAGCACAGGCATCCTGACAGCAGCAGAAGTTTGTGAAATTCTGTAAGAGAATTCCACATTGACAAGAAAAGGATTTGGTGCTCCAATCAAACGCCTTTTCCAAAGGTTTTCACCTATTAAATGTGACTAAAACGTTGTGTTTTGTGAATGTGGGTGTCTGTGCGATTGCATAACCTGAAGGTCAACTGGTTTCCAACCCGTTATCTACCACATACGCGAGCTCTTTAAAGTCAGACATCTACATAATCAGAAGAGAGAGAGAGAGAGATAGAGAGATGATGAGGAAAATACAAGTGACTCTGCACGATGGGTGACGGCTGAGAATGTCAAAATTAATATAATCTGCCGCTTCAGAGACAGGAAATAAAATAAGACGACGAGACACGTGTTTTGTCTAGGCTGGGTCTTGCATATACATAAACAGAAGAGAGAGAGAGAGAGAGAGAGAGAGAGAGACGATGAGGAAAATACAAGTGACTCTGCACGATGGGCGACGGCTGAGAATGTCAAAATTAATATAATCTGCCGCTTCAGAGACAGGAAATAAAATAAGACGATGAGACACGTGTTTTGTCTAGGCTGGGTCTTGTAGTAATTACGTGCTGTGAGACTGAGTTATTTAATTATTAGATTGTCATTGTTTCTTTCTAAAAACCTAATTAATTTCTCGATATGCTTCTTGGAAAGAAAAGAGAAGAAGCATGTTGAATTATTACCTGACAGATACACTGATTGTAGCACTCGCTGAATTAATTACCATGTGTGTTTTAGCTGACAGCTGAATAATGCAGATTAATCTAATTGTTTCTTACAAAACTAATAAACCAAGAAAAGTCTTTATAGAAATGCACAGAAGGACATTTGTGATCTGATGAAAGGAACATGGTAAAGTACAGTAATTATATCTTAATCTTTATGAATTTATTACGTTTAGCAATTGGACACTATAGGACAGAATATAATTATGACGAATTACGTCAATGGACTAACAATAAACCAGTGTTACTTTAGTATCATTGAAATAATACAGTTTTCATTTATAGTTTGAATCCATTTTTAATACTATATTATATTATATTTGTAAAATATTTTTCATATTACAAAATGGATAATAAATGGATAAAAATTCAACCACACTAGGCCTAGAGCACATATTACAGTACATATTCTGACATCATTATTCAAATATTAAAATATGCCATGAAATATTATTACAATCTAATATGTTTTTTTCCCCCAGGATTCTTTGATGAATAGAAAGTTCAAAAGAACCGCATTGAAATATAAATATTTTGACAGATTATAAATGTCTTTACTGTCGATTTTGCTCAATTTAATGCATCCTTGCTAAATAAAAGTATTAATTTCTTTTTTTCCAAAAAGGTAGTGTATAATAATAATTCAGATAAAAAAAAAAAAAAAACACCATAGGACTTTTTTGTAAGAGTTAACAAGAGTAAAATGAGTAAAATATTAACAGAGTAAAAAGAGTAATAGGACAATTTGCATCCTTTCTCAGCCCTATGATCATTTCCCATCTTTTCATGTGTTTTTTATGAATTCAATCCCAGATTTATTGCTTTAGACACAATGTATCTGGTCAATGACTAAATCTTTTTTTATATGTCCTGAAGGATGATCTTTGTCAAAAGCATTCTCATCCTCTCTCTCTCTCACTATCACAGTTTGAATGAAGAGGCCTGAGGGTTCGTAACGTCTCTTTTGCTGTTCCAGAGCCTCACCTGCACCGGTCCACCTGCAGCCTCACCTGTCTTTACCTTAGGGCCTCAGCACAGAGCAAAAAGAACACCAACCACTGAGGCCCATGACGCAGCTCTGGCTTATATTATCTGCACGGGGCCTCACGACAGATCTGGTGTGTTTCTGAAAATGGGCCTCAGCATGGAGCTCAACACCTACATCACAGACGGCTTTTATGGCTGTGCGAGTAGAAGTTTGAAATAAGGCTTTAGATTGGCAGACGTCTCTGCCAGCGTGTCCCTGTCTCACCTCCCACGGGGGACATCAATTTCATCTTTTTTCCAGCGGACGGTAGGCTGCGGGTCTCCCTGCACCTGACAGCGAAACTCCACCGCCTCCTCCTCCAGAACCACCTGGTTAATGGGCCGTCGTAGGAATGTGGGCCTCTCTGAAAGACACACAGTGGAGAAAAGGACATAAGGGACAAAGAGACGTCATTCACTCGCTGTGACTCAGCATCCAGTCACAGACCCCGAACAGAAGCTCTCGCAGAGATTTGTGGTATTGTGTAAGAGTATCAAATGCTTTTGTGTTCCAGCATGTTTTATGACTAACGTGAAGACACAGGCATAACAGAGGCATTAAACATGACACATTCTCTCACGCTGGAAAAATCGGAATCGTTCAAACTTGCTTGTTTACAAAAGCATCAACCATGAGCTGAGATGTTAAACATTTTCAGAGCATGACTAAAATATTTTTTGGATATTTTAAGGCTTTTTTGTAGTTTGGAAATGTCAGACAAGAGTTGGCACGTACCGAACACAGTGACCTGGGCCGTCTCACTGTCTCTCTCACCGACCATATTGGTGCCCACGCAGATGTATATGCCAGCGTCGCTCTTCCTCGTGTTGGAGATCATCAGCTTCCCTCCACGGATCTGAAGGGGAAGACAAGAACGTTACAGTCTCTGCGACAACTCATGCGATAAGTTTCTGCAACACTCTCTGTGATGTTACTTGAAGTTAGATGCCTTGCTCAAGGGCAAAATAGATGTAGTTTATGATTCACCTTTTGATGGTTTTGAAACTGTAATGTTTTTGACTCAAGGCCGGATCATTAACCACCATTCCACACCTCAAATAAAGTTTTCTTTGTTGCAAAAAATGTGTCAGTTAGTTTAGAAACATTTATATTTGAATGATACATCTTTGTAGTATATTGGAAACATGACCAGACAGTTTTTGCCAAGTCTCAGAATGATTTTGCCCTAAAACAAAAAATGTTTTGGTTTTGAAAGTTGTTGTTGTTTTATTTGGTCTTGCAAAACTTTTTAGCAAGTGAATGTAGATGACTTTTTTGATGTTGTGATGATGATTTGTTTTCTTTAAGGGTTTTAGAGAACAAAGCAAAGCAAACGAAACAAACAACAAAACAAACAAAGCAAAGCAAAGCAAAGCAAAGCAAAGCAAAAGCAAAGCAAAGCAAAGCAAAACAAAACAAAACAAAGCAAAGCAAAGCAAAGCAAAGCAAAGCAAAGCAAAGCAAAACAAAGTTTTTTTTTTCTTGCAAAAGCAAGCAAGTGAATTTAAAGTTTTTAGTTTTAGATTTTTTTTTATATTTACCCAGGGTTTGGGTAACAAAAAAACAACAAAAAAAATTAAAAAAAATTATAATATATTTTTTATAATTTATAAAATATTAATCATATTTTTTAAATAATAAAAAATCAAATCAAATAAAAAAAAATCCATACAAACAAACTGAATATGAATAGGGTTGCAAAGAGGCAGAACATTTCTGGTAAACTAGAAACATTCCAGAATTTTTAGACACTTTCCAGGATTTTTTGGAAACTTTGAGGAAAATTGTGAAAATTTTTGAAAACTTTTGGGAAATTTTTCACCCCTTTGCAACCCTAAATATGAATAGTTCCTGACTCTCATTCTCACCTTTATCCTGTTATCCTTCTCATCAAATTGGAATGAATGAACGAAAGAACATACAAATGAATGAATGAATGAATGAATAAATAAATAGTTCCTGTCTCTCCTGTTCTCACCTTGATCCTGTCATCCTTCTCATCGATTCGTACTTTGTCTTTCTTCCAGTAGATGGTAGGCTCCGGGTGTCCACGAGGGGGAACGCACTCCAAGATGGCCGGCTCTCCAGCAGCCACCACCACATCCGTAGGGTTCTGTCTGAAATCATCACGTAACACTGAGAGAGAGAGAGAGAGAGAGAGAGAGAGAGATTAGCTCATTCTTTAACCATTTGTAAATTTAGTCATGCTTACAATCCCCGAGGCATAAATAAATGTTCTTTTGTTGCTGAAACAGATGTCATTTCATTAAGTCCTCTAAAATGCTAACACGCTCCAGCAGTGTTCAAATGTTAGCTCCCATTCAACAGGGGTGCAGAGAGACACCTGTTTGAAAGTTCTGTTAAGTATTTTGAGGTCACGGGAACGACAGACGTGGTAAATCATGCTGTGTGTGAAGGCATCCGTCTGCAGAAGGGTATGCATGAGTTTTATTTGATGGGGTGACTACAAGGAAACCTTCATTGAACTTAATGGGGTTCCCTATCGAGACAGGAGAACAAACAGAGAGAGGGAAGAGATATTGTGCCCTCCAGCTCTCTGTCACTCATATGCATGCAGCAGAGGAACGTATACGAACACACACACACACACAGTCGGTGGGTGGGCTGGTAAATCAGTGCCAACTAATCACCCATGCACCTTTTATCACAACCTATGCCTCTGGCCATGACTAATGTAGCAGTAAACGCGACAGCAAAAACATACATGAGGTCACCCAATTATCAGCAATGAATAAATGCAATGAATTAATAAACACATCTGTACACATCTTCACATTCATCAACGATGCTTTATTAATAAGTTGGGTAATTATACTCTAGTGCTGACCTGTGAGGGACCAAACGATAAATCTGTCAAATGATCATGCAATAATAGAGAAAAATGCTCTCGACTTGTCTTAGTTAAGATTTATGAATCAGATAATGACTTTAAAGTGATTTAATAATAATTGTGAAAGAGAGCACTCTGATTCGAAAATCTGATTGGATAAATCATGCTTAAAGCTGTTCAAACGCTAACTCTGGTAGAGTCATCCCTGCATTAAACATGCCATGGAGTTGCTAAAGTGTTTCGAGCAGTTGCAGTGCAGTTGCTAGGGCATTCTGAATGGTTGCTAGGTTGTTGCTCAAAAGGGCACACTAACAAGTCTCTATGATATTCTGATCTCTTAGATATACTGTAGCTCTGGTCCTTCACCACAAGTCTGTGGCTTTTTTCAATCATTTGAAAAAGCAATGGCACATCTCTCCATCACTCAAGGGCAACTTATATGCTGAAGTTTAATAGTTAAAGTTAGTGATTTGTTCAAATAAGAATAACGCTGTAAAATGAGACAAAGCGCTGTGTATGTGTGTAATTTTACATTTCTTAACTTCATGCCTTTTTCTGGCCTCAGGCCGTGTACAGACATTCAATACGCATAATTACATTTTCATCCCTCCAAAAGCCTCGACTTCCAGCTCTCTTACATGTTTCTTTCTCTCTCTCTCTGGGTGCGATGAGCCTCTCGATCTTCCATCTGATTAATATTTATGTATTGTTCGTCTCCCTCCCCCGCACGCTAGCGAGAGCAGCATCTGTCTGTCAGGCTGGAGGCTAAAGGAGAGGCTTATCTGCTGAATATTCCTCCGCCACCCTCCTTCTCTTCCTCCTGGAGGACGGCTGGTAGAGGTGGAGAGGGTGTTTTTGGGCTACATTGGCAACTTTGCAGTTTTTTTGGCTAGATTTCAAAACATTTGGTGCGAAGTTAAGGGTTTGCGGTGGAAAAGTGTAACAGGAGATGATGCAATGGAAGGAAGCCAAGAGGATCATTAAAAAAAGGACAGATGCTACTTTGTACTTAAGTGTGTTTGGAGTCGTCAGACATAGTCAGTGCCAAAGGCAATTAAAGGGCCTGATATTCTTGAGTTTTTAAAATTTATTTCTTTATTTTTTGCTACATGTCTGGCACCTTAGACATCTAAAAAACAGCATGTCCTTGTAACAAGATTGCAAATGTGCTCTAAGATTGTACTACAGTCTAAAAATCTGTAATATGACTTATGTGAAGTAGTGCTACTTTATAGCTGAAACATTTATTGTTTATATGTTGTTGACTAAAAAAAGATTATTAAAGATCCTAAAAAATAAGATTGTAGAAAACTTTAAATTTGTTCTTTTGTAACACACACACACACACACACACTCACTCACACACACACACACACACACACAGGTCTATATGAATCTTAGATTTTTAGACTGTAGTACAATCTTGCACACAAAAACATGTTTTATAAAGTTGTGAATTATATAATATTAACTATTCCTTACTAATTACTATTACTTTTAATTATATATTAATTATTTTAGAAATTGACTTTTTTAAATAATGTTTTCTATCATCTTAAAATAGTTGTATAATTGTTACAATTTTTACAGTTAACCTCATTATAATTTACTAATTTAAATTATATAATTTATTAATTTAATTTATAAGAATTTTATAATTTTAAATTCTAAATTTCAAGGTGTACATTATTAACTTGAATATAATATAATTTTACATTAAAAAATAAAGGAATAATTTAAAAATATAAAATAAATGTTAAAAATATAATATAATATGATATGATATATGATATATGAGATATGATATGATATATGATATGATATAATTTTACATACCAGACATACAGAAATAAAATACTAATCAAATTATGTCAAGATAATTGGCAAGACCACACACAAACCTGTGGAGTGGATAATATGGTAATGTGCGCATATAAATCAGTTTGTTTTTACCCATCGTGCACTGCAGTGCTGGTAGCTTGTGTCTGCATCAGAGCCGGCAAAGGTCAGAACGCAGTGGGATTACAGCACAGAACTGGCCTAGAGCAATATCACACTCCTACTGCACTTTATAACAACAACATACTGATCGAGAGAGAGAGAGGTACAGAAAATGATTGTGGCCAGATGAGAGTTTTCCCAGTATGCTATAAGCAGTGATAGCATTTAATTTGAGTGCCTCTCAAAAGTGTTCACTACAGTTGATGCTGTGTCTGATGTGGCTCTCGCATGAAAGAGTGTAAATATGTCACTTTTAGAGAAATAGCACTTTTTTCCCCCCTCCGCACTGCCCCTGGCTCCGTTCGTATACATGCCTATGTGTGTGTGTGTGTGAGTTACAGGCAAGAGTAATGTGAAAATGTGCCCCAGTCTGTAGTTGGGAAGAAAGCTGTTCCATTTGTTTGCAGTATCAGTCCCGTTATGAGCTCAAGCCCCAGTGACCCCTGTAAACCCCATCTACACACCCGCACACAGCAAATAAAGGCCTCCAGACACACACACACACACACACACATTTTAAATGTTGCTACAAACATGTATGATTTTCTTCCTTTAAGAAAGTAAAAGCAACTTTTAGGATGCTTTTATAGTGTTTTACATAATTTTTTTAATCTTTAAAGCTCCAGTTTCATTGCAATTGCATGTAAAAGAGTGACAATTTCTTGTATTTTGTTTGATGGAATATAAATACCGACAGACTGTTAAATACACACACACACACACACACACACACACACTATATTCAAAGTTGTAAATTAAAACAATTATGAGTATGTGTTACTTTCTATCTAAAAATTTCATGCATAATTCAATGTTACTTGCATTTCTTTGTAAATATTTTTGAAATTTACTAGCATTTTCTAAGTGAAAATTGTTTCAAATTAAATCAACACCTTTTTTCTTCTTTTTTTGTTCAGTGCAGAATTTACATTTTTGGGTAAACTATTCATTTAAAAAAAAAAAAAAAAAAAGGAAAATTGGAAACACACTGTAAAAAATATATTAGTGAGAATATTAGTTTTTTACAAGAAAATACTACTTCAGTTTTTGTTTTTTACTTCAAAATTTAATTCAACTTTGTGAAATTTACTAGCAATTTCTAAGTGAAAATAGTTTCTTTACCAAATTGGTTTTAGTGCACATGTAACAATATTAGGGCTACAATGTAGCAATTACTGTATAAGTAGCTTCATTTTACATATAAAACAGAAGGTCAAATGGAGGTGTATGTACTGGCAACCAAACACCTCACACCTTCAAAAGCCGCACTTCCACCGTTAGCCTAACAAGACTGCCGCTAGCCAACCCGCTAATGACTTCCGCCCCATGCTAACGCCTCCGACTGGACCCTTGGCTCCGGAACACAAGCTCATCACAAACAATATAATTAACTCTTAATGAACCTCTCTGCTCGTTGCTCTGTCCTCCATGTGCACTTCCCAAATTCAATTTAGCCTAATCCCGGGCTTTATGGTAATGTATAGCTCATTAAAATGTTAGCTAAAAACTCATTAAAATTCACTCAAAGTAATAGCTTCATTACTGTGATATTGCTGAAAAGCAAAGACAAAACGAGGAAGATGGGGAGAAGGAGAGAGGAATGATGAAAAAGAGAGAATGACGGCTTTCTAATCACTTAATTGTGACTGAAAACAGCATTCATTTGCATAATACACACAGACACTAGGTGGCTAATTTTCACTGTGACTTGGTAATTAAACACCCCTCATAACTAAAGACACAATTCCTTCCAAAAATCATTTAAGGAGGCACTTCTGGGTCTGTAAGAGATGCCAAATGTCTCCATCTTCCTGTGTTAAAATGACACTCTGACCAGCTGCAGAGTGTGGAGACCCGGTGGATGCTGATACCATGGTATGTATGTATGTATGAGGGGTGGAACGGTTCGCGGAAAAAAATCGAACCGTACGATTCTCCACACACTGTTCGGCACGCGCTAGGACCGCGGTTCAACTTAAATCTGACAACGCATCTGTAATATGGTTTTGCTATAAATAACACGTAAAACAAACAGGGTTCGGCTAATGTATGTTTCTGTTGATGGATGCACATTCTGGCTTCCCAGTACATTACAACAACAGCGATGAAAAAACAAAAAAAACAAAAACAAAAATAAACCTGGACAAACCATTCACTCTTGTTCAATGCGAATGCCTTATGCTGGAATATGAGCATTTATTCCGTCATCACCCGGGTGCTGAGGCGAGCGCGCGCACACATGCGAGATATTTTAAGCTCTTTATGGTAATGTATAGCTCATTAA